CACATCGTCTCAACTTTTTAGTAGGATATTCTGCGGATAAAATACTAGGGGTCTGGCCAGATAAACTCTGGGTAAAGTCCGTGCGAAAAAATGCAGCTGTTTGCGTTCACACATAGCCTAAAGAACCTCCGGGTAGCCAAATCTCTGGAGTTTTTCAGGAGATTTCCGTATGTGTGAAAAGGCTTCAAGTTTACAGATGATGAAAGCCTATACTCGTGTATCGTATCAAAGTTTAAATAAGGTAAATGAGGACAGAGTGGCCCTGTGACTTGCAACAACCTGTCAGCACATTTCAACACCTTCCACTGCCTCTGAGTAATGATCTGGAAACACACAATGCAAATATGTTGGCATACCCAGCTGCCTTCTTGATGCAAAACATGTCTCTGTATGCAAGCAGGAGAGAGAGAGAGAAAGAGAGAGAGAGAGAGAGAGAGAGAGAGAGAGAGAGGGAGAGAGAGCATCCACCAATTCAGGGAACTGTCTGTGTATAGTTTCTATTTTATTCACTTTTGTGCTGAGACTCTATAGCAGGTTAGATGGAGACTCTATAGCAGGTTAGATGGAGACTCTATAGCAGGTTAGATGGAGACTCTATGGCAGGTTAGATGGAGACTCTGTAGCAGGTTAGATGGAGACTCTGTAGCAGGTTAGATGGAGACTCTGTGGCAGGTTAGATGGAGACTATATAACAGGTTAGATGGAGACTCTGTGGCAGGTTAGATGGAGACTCTATAGCAGGTTAGATGGAGACTCTATAGCAGGTTGGATGGAGACTCTGTAGCAGGTTGGATGGAGACTCTATAGCAGGTTGGATGGAGACTCTATAGCAGGTTGGATGGAGACTCTATAGCAGGTTAGATGGAGACTCTATAGCAGGTTAGATGGAGACTCTGTAGCAGGTTGGATGGAGACTCTATAGCAGGTTAGATGGAGACTCTATAGCAGGTTAGATGGAGACTCTATAGCAGGTTAGATGGAGACTCTATAGCAGGTTAGATGGAGACTCTGTAGCAGGTTGGATGGAGACTCTATAGCAGGTTAGATGGAGACTATATAGCAGGGTAGATGGAGAGTCTATAGTAGGGTAGATCGTATGTCAATTATGAACTCTGTTATTTTACGAGATGATATGGAAGCCTGCAGGATGTATCTGCCATACTGTTGTTGTGATTGTAAAGCTTGTTGACAGGTAAAATAGTTGGTGTTCTGCCATAGTAGATCTTGGCACTAAACAGACTGTCATGAGCCGATAAGGCTGTTTCTGCAGAGACAAGTTAATCTGTGCGACTCAGTCTCAAGCAGCATGAGTCAGAATGTGCATGATCCTGCAGAGGGCTTGTGTCTTTGATCAGGGAGTAGGGGAGTGTCCACAGAGGGTTGTATTTTCAGCACAACACAAACCGTTACAAGCTTCAAAACGTTGAGGTTCGACCTTCCATTTCCAATTTTAGCCCCTTAGACATTCAACTCTTTTGAAGTATACTCAGTTGTGTAAAACCAGCAGAGTGGGGCAGATAAATCAGTTTTTTAATGACATGGTTTGAGTGTGCATTCACTTTCTCCATGATGTCAGATATCAAAACATACTCAGAAATTCTCAGTAGAATGATTTACCACTAATGAGGCACATTGAGTAATGTGCTCTGAAAATGCAGCCTGTCATTTACTCATATGATAAAAAATAAATGGCAAATAGTCTCTCTATTTCATACGTTTCTGTAGTGTCCTTACCGAAGCACCTCCAAGCTTCTGAGTGAACATAAAAGGAGGAAAATTGAATCTTTTTATTTCTTATTCGACCAGAGAATTAAAACAATTATTTGATCTGTGTGGAACTGCGTTACCTTGATCTGCATGGACACTTAAAGGTCACATATACAAAATACACTTCACCATGTTTTTCTAACACTAATATGTGTCCCTAGTCTGTCTACAAACCCCCCAATTATGAGAAAAGTCCATCCTCTCCGTCTTCTGCCTGCTCCACTTTTCAGAAAATGTGTGCTCAAATAGGCTGTTTGGAGATTTTCCCTTCATGACATCACAAAGGGCAGTAACCCCTCCCCCAGGTGGGTGACACTCCCACAGCTAGATGTTTGTTCTGCCCTCTGAGTCTGCCTTCTCACCGTAAACAATAGGACATGGAGCGAGAAAGACTGAGCCACATCCCCTTCCAGAGAGGGGGCGTGGTCAGACACAGCTCATTTGCATTTAAAGGTACGGACACAGAAACAGCCTGTTCTGAGCAGGGCTGAAATAGAGGGATTTATAGACATGATCAAATACAGGATCAGAGTAAATATTTGGCAAGATACACCACAGACATGTTTTGGGGAGCTATGTGACTTATTTAAACTGGTTTAAAAAGGAGAATAATATGTAACCTTTAATGTGATCAAACTTAAGATGTGAGGGGGCAGTCAGAAGGACTGTGAGGAAGAAAGTGCTTTACTGAGACGATCTGATTGCACACGAAGCAGATGTTATTAATGTGGGTCTGCATCTGTGTGGATGATTAAAAAAAAGGATCAATAAGCTGATCAAAAAAGGTGGCTCTGTGATCAGCATTACCCCAGCCTTACTTGAAGTCACCTTTGATAAGAGAATGAGGACCAAACTAAAACCTGTATTGATGTTTGAAGAGAATCCTTTGTTCAGTGTTTTTAATGGACTCCGAAGCTCCTTCAGTGAGCGACTAGTGATGCCTCAGTGAGCGACTAGTGATGCCTCAGTGTTCTTCTGAACGACTCAGAAGGTCATTTGTTCCAGCAGCAGTCAGATATTTTAATGAACACTTTTAGTTGTGGCTCTGACTCATGGCTTCAAATGGTTTTAATGGTGTTTTTATTATTTTTCTGATTGTAATGTCCATATTGTTTGTTGTGTGAATTCATTGACCAGGCGGCAAATGAGTGTCCGCGCTGGGGATTAATAAAGTTTTCTAATCTAATCTAATTATGTTTTTATCTCGGGATAACGACGCTGGTTTTCCCATGAAACATGTTCATTTCTTGAGATCTCACAAAAGCGGCTGAAGTCTGTGGGTTTATGTGAAGTATATGTCATTAATAGTTAGCTTAAAGCTGTTTTCCAAATAGCATGAAGTTTATTTTCTCAAATATCTTTCCATCAAGGGTAAAAAGAAAACAAAGCAGTGTTTATGTAAGGGCTTGGCTACCAAAGGTTGATAACTCCCCCTCACACAGAGAAAAGAAGTTGTGCATATCCATCCTCTGGTCTGAAAACTCTAACTTTAAAAAAAAGATATCTACTCTGAAAATGCCAAAGTTTAGGCTTTCAAATAGCAGATGACTATCTCAGATGACATTACAGAAGCTGTCCACTTCAGTACTCGTGCATGATAAAGCCAGATAGTTTGAAAGAACAGGAGGCTAAAGAGGGTTTAATGCACAGAGGATAAAAGAGACACAGTGTATAAGATGTTGGGGAGAGTGAGAAACAGGGAGCAGGAAAATCAAAGTTTGCAAGCATTTTTTTAAAGAATACAACATGATTAAGCATTATAGGGTTTTCAGCTTGACGGTTTAATGGAAGAAACACTATCTGCAGAAAATCTGCAGAACCTCCCGTGTGAACTCAAACAGCATGCAGATCCCAAATGTGATAAGGAAGCTGTAAGGCTGTGAAAGGGAGTGCACCAAAGATGGTCTGGATGACGGATTGCCTCAATTGTTGAGATATTTCAGTCTAATCCAGCAGACTGATCAGTTTCTTTATACTGGCATCCATTGATGGCTTTACAAAAAATAAAAAAATTTAAACTTTAAAGTTGCTGGAGAGGTGCTCCCAAATCCTTGTGCCAGGCACCAAACCCGCTTGGGCACTTTTTCATGTGCAACCCCTCACTCTGACAGCTCTCCATGAGTGAATATCCATTAGTCCTAACTTATTTTCAGTGTGCCACAGAGTTTGGATTTATTTTTCAAGGTATGTTCCTGCAATCGTGCGTACCTGAGAACGTTTAGGCTGTGCGCGGGGTAACCTGTTGACCAGCCATTAGTTCCTGTTTGTGCATGTGTGGAATCCTGGCCTACGGCTGAATTAAAAAATCCACCACTTGAGGCATGTTCCTGGCAGGTTTAGTTTAGTTTATTAGTTTATTTCAATTGTGGACATTGTACAAAATAACATTAGTCTCAGAAGAGAAAAGATGCTTTGAACCAGATTTAGCTAACTAGCTAATTTATGTCTGTTGTCCCTGGGCAGATGATGGCAACAGTAAAATACAGATCAACCAGTCACGCACACACACACACACATAAAAGAGAAGAAGAATACAGAACAATATACAGATTTTAAAATATTATTTACAAGTTTTCACTGAGTTTTAAAAAGTTGCTGAGATGACAACTTAATGCTGACAAGACTGGTTCCCTACAGTCAATCCTTTGACTTAATGGGAGACAGTGTGGAAGTTTTGGAACGGCTTTAAAAGAAAAAGCAGATTGTGCAAAAGCGGAGCCACGTTTGGGGATACTACAATCTCCGCTAGAGGCAGACCTTGAAGCTCTGCTCATGTGCTCGAAGCGAAGTTTCACAAAGCTGTGCGAGTTCTTAGTGCCGTCCCATTATGAAAACATTAAGATGATGATGGTTTTGTTTGATAATGGCGATTTTAGGATGGTTTTGACGCTGATTATAACTTTCAAGAACAGGTTGATGTTGTGCTTGCCTTTGTGCACTTCCTATCTGACTTAAAGCTGGTCATTTACACTTCCTGACGTTGTTTCCTCCTCCTCTAGATCCTTGCTTGTGTTGTACTTACTCTCTGATGTACGACACTTTGGATAAAAGTGTCTGCTTCATGAATTGTAGATGTGTAGCAGAATTGTAGACTGTGTGTGTAGCATTGTCCAAAACAAGGCATAACAACTGCATCCCCCCGGGGAATAAAAAAGTATGTCGTCTCCTTTTTATTCAAATTTATCAGAAACTGATTGACCTAACCTGTCATCTATGATCCTGTGTCCCTATAGGAATGCAACATCCAGGAAGTATGCGCTACAAATTCAACTTTATTGCAGATGTGGTGGATAAGATTGTTCCAGCTGTGGTGCATCTGGAGCTCTTCCAGAGGTAAAATTAACTGAAGCAAAACATCCAAAGTCTCACCTATACCGCTCCTTTTTTTTTTGCTGCTACATAACAGTTTTTCTGTCTTTTGCCAGGGTTCCATTCTCCGGTGAGGAGGTCTCTGTGTCGAGTGGCTCTGGGTTTATAGTGTCAGAGGACGGCTGGATTGTCACAAACGCTCACGTACTCTCTAACAAGCAGCGTATAAAGGTAGAGCTGAAAAGTGGTTTGCAGTACGACGCTACGGTCAAGGACGTGGACCAGAAAATAGACATTGCACTCATCAAAATTGAACCAGAGGTGAGTGGCTTTTGTTCCCTCTGAGCTACCAAAAGGGTCTTCAACTAAACTATGTGTTCTGTTTTCTTTGTTGTCCATGGCTGACATCAAAGAGTGGATTCTGATTTAAAAAATCCCCTCCTCTCCCCTGGTATCTCCACCCATGGACTCCACCCCCAGTCTAGAACAAAACTTTTGCTCAGGTCTGCCATTTTTATTCTCACTAGTGAGGAGTGATGTCTACTGGGAAAACTCAGGGGGGGCTCATTGCATTTAAAGAGACACACACACCAAAACGGAGCGTTCTGAGAGAGCTGGTTTATACAGGGTCACAAACCTCCTCTGGTAATTGATTCATGTTATATTTTGACCAAAGCACAGCACAGATGTTTCATTTAGACCACAGGGGACTGTTTGAAAAGGTGGAGAAGGGGTATTCTGTGTCCTCCTTCAAGGAAGAATGTGCAAAATACATAAATGTAGCAGAAATCCAGTAGATCCTGTGTAAATGTCTCTGAGTAATGACTGCCTACAATGAGTGAGATGTCCCGCTGGCTGTGTTGTTGTCTTAACTGTGTTTACATCATGTTTACATGGACGGGACGGCCAGCTCCTCCCCTTGTGTAAAAAAGATGTTTTTAATCAAGGACTAGAGAAAAGTAGAATGACATACTCACTGCTTATTTGAATGTCACACAAGCGTTTTTGGATCATGGTTATTCTGTGTCAATTTAAATTCAATGTGAAGCTACGAGCTAACTAAAGAGCGCTAACATTAGCTTGTTAACAGAACAATGCGACCACAGCCTTGCAGCTTGAGCAAAGGACAATTTTGTCCACCTTTGTGCTAAACTCCTCTGGTGAACTTGATTGGGAGGTGGGTTGGAAGTGTGCAGTTTGTTTTGGTTTCATGCTGGTGCTCAGGGGCGACATCTACTGGATCAAAAATTTGCACATTCTTCCTTTAATGTGGTCAATCTTTCATCTGACTTCCTCTAGGGTGGTATTTGGTTATGCCTTGTAAAAATTCAAAGCCTCTGCTCTCCTGTGTTGAATACTTGGGAGTGCTGTTCTGAATAAAACATTCTGCTCCTTAGACATGCTCTTACACAACCACCTGCTTTGTATGGTAGGAGGGACTCCTCTTCAGTCAGAGCCCACTTAGCATGAAACACGGGGTCAACATTTTTAGAACTGATTTTTTCTTCAGTGTCTCAAGGAGTCAAACTTTCAGAATCACATATTGACAGCCCTATAGGTGAAGGAGTTGGTCTTCTAACAACCAAGGAGTGGTGACAGCTTAACCATGCTTTATCTCTTTGAGGAACATTCCTCTTAAGCTTGCCTAAAAGGCATATATAAGGCTCCATGCCCTGAGAGATGGGGCTATAAATTAAGGTAAATGTCGACACCCTACACTTAAAGGGGGCAGGTGAAGACGTGCTAAAGCTTATGGAAGTTTCATTCATGCACAACAAATACCCTGTTAAAATCAAAATATAGTAATTACATAGATTAGTGCTTGAAGAATTAAACGCCCATTTCCACCAGTCATATCCAGTGTTAGAAAAGAAAGTGCGGTGGCCCTGAAGGTCAACTGTAAAAACATTTCATGAAAAAAACATTTATTGCAACAAAACCTTTCAGAAAACAGAAATTTAGCCGTATTTGTTTGTGATTGGAGAGAATCCAGGTCATTAGTAACAGCCATGTATCACTGACTTAACATATTGCCTGTTAAGCATTGCCAATCTGGGCAACTCTTTTGATACCCCAAACCCCGACTGTATAGTCAAGTGACTTAATCCAACCACTCTGTGCCACTGTTGCTTTATAGGAGGGATATGTAACCCTGACACCTAGTGTTTAAAATAGGTACTGCAGTCCAAATCCAAAACAGAGATGTTTCCCCCCGCCCCCCTCCTCTTTAGAGTCGATGCTCATGCAGGTTACCATGTCACAGACACTGAAGCTTCAGTGTTTATCCAGCTCTGCATCGGTCTGTAAACTTTTCTGTGTTCTAACCTCTCTCCATTTTTCAAAAGCATCTCCAATATTGATCCTAGTTTGAGCACGCTTCTGCTCGTGGAGCTTATTAGAAACATGCAGAGGCTTTTTAGGTCGGGTACAATCACTTCTATCTGAAGCACTGCTCTTGCACCTTTCAATCCTCCAACACCTGTTGGTTTGCTGTTTGCCTGGCAAACCGAGGGGCGTCCAAAACGGCTGTGTGGGGGGGTGCCTTAAAAGCGCCTACCTTCTCTGGTCCAAACAAATCCAGAGCATTCAGGACCAGAATCTGAAGTTAGAAAGAAGGACATACTGGCTGCTGCATTGTTGTCAGAGGAGACAGCACTTCAACATAGCATGTTTCCTTAATGTCTGATCATATAGTAAGGTCACTTTATCATTTCACTCAGTAGATATCTTACAGATTGGTCCTTTAACATCCACCACAAAATATTCTTAAAATATAAAGTAAATGCAATGTATTTTGATGCTGGGCCTTAAAGCTCTTTAGAACATGTATTGAAACTGAACAAAAAAGTTCCAAATAATTAAATGATGACTTTATTTCACAGAGTGTGTATTCCTGTTCCATTCCATGATTGTTATCCATATCTGAATCTGCTGTGCCCTCATGCAGAGTCCCCTGCCTGTGCTCCGTTTGGGCCAGTCCTCAGACCTGCGCCCCGGTGAGTTTGTGGTGACCGTGGGGAGCCCGTTCTCCCTGCAGAACACCGTCACCACTGGCATCATCAGCTCTGTCCAGCGCAATGGCCTGGAGCTGGGCTTCAAGGACTCGGACATGGATTACATCCAAACAGACGCAATCATTAATGTCAGTGAGGCCACAGTCATGATAACTACACAATCATGTCCTTGTTTTGTATTACATTTCATTTACCTGGATAGGTGTCTGAAGTCATGAACAAGTTTTTGTTGCTCTGTTTTTTCACAGTACGGCAACTCTGGTGGGCCGCTTGTAAACTTGGTAAGATGACATTTCAAAGTATGAAAAGAGCATAATAACAACATTTCATTTGCACATTTGTTTTGCTCTATGCTTTCCAGGTGATCACTCTAGTCTTATTTATCTCTTCATGGTTCTGTATTCATTAACATCCACACTGCTCGCTCATTTTAAAGATTACCTGGCCTCATTCACAAAGCGTTCTTAGGAACAAATTTGATCTTAGTGGGCGGTTACCTATGCTAATTGTGAACAACATGCACAAGCTTTCAACTTTTTAACACTAAGAGATAAGAACACAGCTGCGCACAATTCAGTTATTTAAGAACACGTTGGTGAATCTGACGGAGAGTCTTCTTAGAAATCTTCTTAAGACAAATCTTAAGAAGATACTAATGAGTGAGGTCCAATGTCACCGCAGTTCTTTACTAAAGGAGAATTTTTGCCATAGCGACAGTCCATTTCTTGAATCACCTATCACTGGGAAATGACAAATACTGGTCTACAATATCCAAGGCCTTTTTGTAAAAAAAAAAAAAAAATCATTTAAAGACAGATCTCTAACGGCTCTGTTTTCATTTATTGGTTGAACAGGACGGAGATGTAATAGGCATCAATACTCTGAAAGTGGCAGCAGGAATCTCGTTTGCCATCCCTGCAGACAGAGTGCGACAGTTCCTCGCTGAATCCTACAACAGAAAAGTCAGCGGTGAGTAATGAGTCATGTCGGTGTGGCTGAAACGGGACTTTCTCCAGTAATGAGTACATCATTACATTTATACATTTAAAAAAAAAAGTAAATTATTCCTTCATTTGCCTTTAAGGGAATACAGATCAGAAGAAGAAATACATTGGTGTCCGGATGCTGCAGCTTTCACCATCGTAAGTACACGAGAGGAAATGTTTTCCATGAGACACAAATTCATTTTCATTCCAGATAAAACAACTCGTTAAAAATCACTCTGATAAAATCCAGTATATCTTATAATAATTTCCCATCGTTGTTAATCAAACACAGGACATAGAGGTGTATATGAGTCATATACAGTAAAACAACATTTTCTCCCTCTCACCAGTTTGATCCAGGATCTGAAGGAGCGTGAGAGAGACTTTCCAGATGTGAGCTCAGGGGTTTACATTTATGAGGTTATACCTGGAACAGCTGCATCCAGGTGAGAGTCGCTCCCAATATGTGGTGTGAAGTCCCAATACAATTCTATGAAGGAGTATAAGGGCCACGTTAAGGGAACATAAATTAATGAAAATTAAGCTGTAAATTTACGAGACTGTTAAGGGGAATTTGTTTTTTAGATTTTGTGATTAAAGTCATACATTTATGAGATTAATGTCGTAAATTTACGAGAATAAAGTTTTACAATTACAAGATTAATTCTCATAATTTACAAGAATACAGTCACAAATGTATTACATTTAGTAGAGAAATCAAGAATTTACGAGATTAAAGCCGTAAATGAGAAAAACGTTTTTAGAAAATAATTTACAAGATTAAAGTTGAGATTCTCTTAAATTTACAGCTTTTATCTCAAATTTTGTTAATTTTTTTTCATAAACGTGGCCCTAATACTGCATCGTACACTTAAGCTGATGTCACACTTCTTAGTCTTCATTAGAGTCACAGGTCACATGTAACCAGCACTACAAGATGGATGTAAAATTGACTGACATTCCTCTGGTCATCTAACTTTTCCTAATGTTTGAAGCTGTGTTAATATGAATACCTGCGTGAAAAGAACCCTAACCCATCAGAGAATTTACGAAGAATTTAATAACTGCAAAACATTCGACAGATACAGATATATTATATATTATATATTTCATTGAAGTCAAGAAAAAGAGGATTGTAAAGGATTTAGGGGGGGTATTTAGGGGACAGAACGCGAGTGTGGGAAACAATTTAAGAGACATGGGATGTACCCTAGTTTGTTTGAGTAATCTTCTTCAATACAGAGACTGCCATTGCTGGGCTTCAATATCCCCCTTCAGTAACCAATGGAGGACGACAAAATGCTTGTTCTTAAGATTAAATCTGTGTTGTTTCTCTCCCCCCCCCCCCAAATTAGGCACATTTCCAAATAAGCCAGCAAGCAAGTTGTTCTTTTTAGGAGAGCATTACCTGGAGCTCATCAGTATGATTTTCAGTTAGAGCTTGTTTAGGCTCTAGGTTTTATGAAATGTATTCTGTGAAATGGCATTAAAATCCCCGCAGTTCTCAAGGCTGCAGATTGAACTGTGATCCTGCTGCTCATTATACTTGTTCTTTCCAAAGGCGAAGCTTTGACATCTTTCTCTTGGTGAAGAAAGGACCTCTCTCTCTCTTCTCTCTCTGACTGTGACAATGTGACAATTTTACCTCGACAATGCTGAGTAGTGTGCTACACTTGTCCTGGTATCTGACACCAGTGCGAGGTCTCTGGTGTACTGTCAGGATCAGTGTACATAAGACCATCGGCTGGAGTAAATACCTCCGATGTAAATGTCAAGCAGTGCAGTGCTTTATAAAGCCATGACCCCACCACTCCCAGTGTGTATGTGTCTCTTGATGGGGGAAAGAACCTGAGACAGGAACAGGCTCGTCTAAAGGTCAAGTGTGGTTTCCTGAGGGGGGGGGGTGGTTTAAAGGGTTTTCTATACAGTATGGAGTATTTTCTTGGTTTGAATAAGTTGGGAAAAGAAGAAGAGATAATATTGATGTTTTTGTGTGTTCTTTGAATGATCAAGAGTGCTTTCTGTGAAGGAAACTTCTTCCTGGGGTCCACAAATACTTGATACTAGACTTCACACAAAAAAAGAATCAGGAGACATGTTCTGCTCACATGTAATACTGTGTCTTTCTAAGCCGGTTCCTTCACATAGGCTTGGTATTTATCCTCAAGAGGATGCTAACGTCAGGGGAATGTTTCATTAGCATATATTTGTTTATTGTCCCCTTTAGTTAAATATACATTAAAAGCAGCAGCTTAAACTTCTGTGGCTAATTTCCAGCTGTATAGTCCCCGGCAACCTAAATGGTTATAATCTTCTGATTTGTTCAATCAGTCAGTCATTATATCTGATTTTCTGGTCAGATAATGGAGTCAAGACACAGATATAAGGAGAGGAATAAAGTGACCTTGGTTGACGTAGTCACGACTAACCATGTATCAGTACAGCTGTGAAGAGAAGGAGCTAAATGTCTGTACATCTACAGAGATACTGAATTTTTAATCACACTTTCCATTGCGTTTGGAGAAGTCAGTCAATAAGGCAGACTCAGGAAAGCTCAGTGTTCATTTTTGGTTGCTGTCAACATTTTGCCAATTTCGGAGCTGGAACCTACTAAACCCTGAAACCATGGAGATTGAACTGTTTGCTTCTCTGTTAGGCACTTTCCACATGAACCCTAAAACAGTTTTAGTAACATTTTTCCCCCTGGATTCTTCCTGACTTGCTTGTTCACAAATACACCTCCCAGAGGGGGGACTATCCCTATCCTTGTGGGAGAGGAGGTTGGGGGGTCTTAGGAGGTAGTACATGAAGTGGTGCAGCATGCAGAAGTGGTGGACTAGGTAACAGAGTCCGACACTACAATGAGAATGTTTTCCTTTATATAAGTCCCTACAGCGTCATATTTGATGTGTTGGTCAACTCATAAACCTGCTGTGTAATAAAACTTTGGATTGAGAACTAACAGTAATAGCTAAAACAGTTAGAATTAAACATATATGGAAAAACTTGCTATTTCTACTGACATAACAATTTCTTCAATCAAATACAGAAAACTTTGGCTTTTTTTGTCTGAACAAGAAGTTTTAGAATCCGGTGCTGTATGTTGATGTGTGTCCTCTCTCGACAGTGCTGGCATGATGGAGCGTGACGTCATCATCAGCATCAATGGGCGGATCATCCACACCACACAGGAAGTGAGCGAAGCCATCCACGGCAGCACGGCGATCTCAGTGCTGGTGAGGCGAAAAGACGAGGACATTACGCTAACTATCGTTCCTGAAGAGATGGACTGATGCCACAGACGGACATTAAAGAAAAATGTGTTTTGAAGTACTGTTCAGCTTTTTATTGATGCATGCTGCATCTGTTGGTCTAGGTGTAACCACGTTTTTTGGAGTTCCTCAGGATAAAAGAGTTGAGGCCAATTTCGATTTTTATATAAATAATCAACAGGGATAAAAAAAAAAAAAATATCAAGACACCAATCTGTACACCCTTGGCAGGTAGCAACAGGACACATCACATACTAGCTGACTGAGAAAACGAGCCGGGGTTGTAAAAAATGTCCCAGTTTTCAAAATAGTACAGTAACATGACATGACATGCCGTTATCCTTGAAATACCCATACAGCTCATTTTGTGAAACTATTTGATGCAAATGAAGGAACTGAGTGTTACAAAACAGGTGCATGCACCAAATAAATAAAGTGGTATTTGGACTTGAACCCAGCGACAGCCAAGTTCCCAACCTGAGGCCCGACAGTCTGAGCTACAGCTGGCCAATCTCCCAACAAGTGGACAGCCTACTATACGTTATCCTCTGAGCCACAACGACCCCTGAAACTGCTGTAATCATCTCTAAAGTGAAGGTTTAACTTCAGCACAGGACACCTAAAGGGAGCTATCCATCCAGTCCAGTGAACTCAGTCAATATCTTCAAGTGTTGAGTTTAGAGTTCAAATATAGCCGCTTTTGATCCACGTGTATGCGGAGACAACCAGCTGCGTCAGCCTTTGTACAATGCGTGTTACTGGAGGATTCCTCTAGAGAGAGCGACACAAAAATAAGGGGAAAAACACCGAAGTAGAGATGATCTGTCGCCAGCTCTCAGCAACAACACATCATTGTGCAAGTATACACTTAATAAGTCAAAGACAACAAGATAGATCTACAATCAGTGGTTTTATCTGAGTTATTTTATTTCATGAGAATCGAGCGAGTAACGATTGCAAGAAAAGAAAAAGTCAGATCAACATTACAAAGAAACCAGAAACACTTTAATTCATCACAAAAAAAGGCAAATAAATAAAAAGAGACGTGGATTAAACAGTTCATGTAAAAAAATTAACACTTACCAAGCAAAGCTTCTTAAGCTTAAGATAAATACTATATACAATATTTTACAAGGTCAAATGAACTCACTTTGACTTTTTACAGATTAAGGGCGATTCTGCTTGGTTTAGATCTCAACATGGAACGGAACAAAAAATTCCATCAAATAAAAGGAAAGGTTTCGTGTTTGAAAAACTCTCTGAACATATGTTGACAACTGTGATATGAATTTCCACTAGTGAATTAAAGCTGCAGTATTTGATGTCACGTCTGAATGTTTTCAACAATTTAAAGGTCATGTTATTTAAAATCCACTTCACCATGTTTCTCTTACACTAATATGTGTCTCTAGTCTGTCTGCAAACCCCCCAATGAGAAAAGTCCATCCTCTCCGTCTTTTGCCTGCTCCACTTTTCAGAAAATGTGTGCTCAAACAGGCCGTTTGGAGATTTTCCCTTCATGACATCACAAAGGGCAGTAACCCCTCCCCCAGGTGGGTGACACGCCCACAGCTAGGTGTTTGTTCTGCCCTCTGAGTCTGCCTTCTCACCGTAAACAATAGGACATGGAGTGAGAAAGCCCGAGACACCCAAGACCTTCCAGACAGGGGGGGTGGTCAGACACAGCTCATTTGCAAATTTAAAGGTACAGACACAGAAACAGCCTGTTCTGAGCAGGGCTGAAATAGAGGGGTTTATAGACATGATCAAATACAGGATCAGAGTGGATTTAGAACAAGACACTTCACACACACGTTTTGAGGAGCTCTGAGACTTAATGAAACTGGTTTAAAAGGAGGAGAATGAGTGACCTTTAAGATGTTCCGCAAGCTGAAAATATATCACCTGCTAAAAATGATGTCGTCTTTTTGATGATCTCAAAGGGTTTTTATGGGTCCTTCGACAATGAAACCTGCTCTACCTGTGAATGAGCTTATAAACCTTCAGCTCAGGCAAAGACAAGAAATTTAGTAAAGAATGAAGATTTTAATTCTCAAGAGACCCGTGCCTAGAGAAGGTCAATGAAGATCAAGATTTGTTTTCGTTTGAGACATTCAGGTCAGACTCGACACCTGACTGCTCCTGTACAGCACTCGAGGAGTGACTGAAGGGAAAGGAATTCACTCGTTGTTCTGTTTCCTGACATTCAAGTCAAAACTTAAAAAACAATAAATCACAGCCTGACGACTTGTGTGAACGCTGTCCATCTCAGGTTGTATCTTCCTCTCAGCTTGAGGCTGTGTTGTTAATCACTCAGAGAACAGCTGAAACACATTAAAGCAGCAGAAATATCTGAACGCCTCCGATAGAGGAGGACTCTGCTGAAGGGTCAACTGAAGAAGGGAAGCTCAGATCATGAGCGCGTGTAGGAGGTTGTCCTTAGTAAACTGCAGGATATTTCTAAGATCACTTGTTAAGAGTTTAAATGGAAGGTGGCTGTCACCTACACAGTGCATCACTACAGAGTGAGAGGCAAACATAAATAAGGCAGGAACAGGAAGACAGGAAGTGTTTGGTTTTTTTGTCCAGCCCAGACAATGCCCAGCATATATTTATAGATGTATAATCCTCATGTCGGTAGTCTTGAGTATTTCCTCAGATTTCATACCAGATATTTATAAATCCACACACTGGATTCACATTTTACTTTCAGAACATTTTGGAGGATTTTTGGTGATTTTCACTCCTGTTGTTCAATTCTTTTAAAAAAAAATGTTTTTGGGGCTTTTTGTGTCTTTATTGTAGAGGTAGGACAGTGGATAGTGATAAATTGGCGAGAGAGAGTGGGTAACGACATGTGGGAATAGGAGCCATAGGTCGGTTCTGAACCCTGGCCACTACTGGAGGATCACAGTACGGACCTACCACTACACCACCAGCACCCCATTGTTGTTCCCTTCATTTGGACAAAACAGGAAAAGAAAAAACACATTGTTGCCTGTTGGTTTTGGATCTGCTTGTGAAAGCTGAAGTATGGACAAACAACGAGGTGACTTTCTCTGTGATGTCACATGAAGCTTACTGAATGAGATTTATTCAGGTTGCATCTTTCTGAGCGGTATGCTTCTATCCTTTAATTAACTGATAACTATAGAGATGTGTACAAGTCCCACAATGTCGACATTTTCTCTTATGTTTTGACGATGAAAAGAAGTCAGTGTTTGTTCAACAGGCGACTTCATCTGTCCAATTAAAAACCTCTGCTCTGAATCAGGAGTTCCAGAAATCTTGCTGTGTTTCGTTTGTGGTGTAAAAGCAAAATGAACAACTGCCTGATGTAATGATGGTAGGAATGTAATATTAGCATAAAAACAAGGACTGGACTGCTATTTAGACCATCTTCAGACCATCAGCCGATAAATAATCAATCGTATGTATATCTCAAGTAAATCAGTTGGTGCATCTGGCTGTAGTTATGCTTTTAAGTAAGTTAAACAATTCAAAAGGTTTTTGTTTTTTCAGTCAGAACCAGCGGTGAGATGTTGATTTTCAGCTTCCAGCTAACATTAGCTGAGCTGTCTGCCATTGGCTGTTGTGATTTCATCATCCAGATTTTTTAATCCTTAATATAAAACGTGTTGGAGATGATTTGGGGGGCTCTTATAGATGCCATTTTTGAGGTTTGAGAGTGGGTCTATTAAGACCTAACATTAACAGACCATTTGGGCCGAGCGTTGGTACCAACCAAGGAATTCAAGATGGGTGATCAGACGTACATCACCCTGAATTTCATGTGCACTAAGCCCGGCCGTTTGGCAACAATGTATGTTTTTTTTCTTGGCACGGGTCAATGTAACCGAACGTTTAGTTCTAAAGTAACCTTACCTATAAAATGCCATTACCACCTTTTTCTGAAAACTGCAAGAACGGTCTTTGTTATGCAATCTCAAAGTAGGATATTTAAAGGGAATACAATTAGAATGGAACCTTGTACGAGTCCTCAGGAAGTCCGTGGACTCCACTTTGCACAGCTGAGCTAAAAATCCCCCATGGGGTGGACCAGCACAAGGATTCAGAATCATGGCAGGCTGAGACCATGTCCCTGGAGTTCTTGATATCTAACAGATGATTTCAGAATGGGAAGCCTTCGGTCTCACTCCGCTGTCTGTCTCACTCCGCTGTCTGTCTCACTCCGCTGTCTGTCTCACTCCGCTGTCTGTCTCACTCCGCTGTCTGTCCCACTCCGCTGTCTCAGTAGTAGGTGCACCAGTTGCTGTAATCGCTGGGCATCAGACCACCGGTGATGAGCAGGATCAAGTCCACAAACCACCAGATTCCCAGGCCTCCAAGGGTTAACAGCTTCCCAACGGCAGTACCGGTGTGGCCCAGGCAGAAACGATCGACGCCGAAACAACCGAGGAAGAAGGAATACAGCAGCGTGGTGATGAAATAATGCCCAGTATATCTGTACAAACAAACAGTGGAAGAGGACGGTAAGGTTTTATGTCAACTGGAAAAAAACGTAAACAAATGTCCAGAAAAAAAGATAAATCATGAATATTAAGAGTCAACTGAAATATGCTGATGTCCTGAAGATATCTAGTGTTCGATATGCTGTCATAAAATTAAAAGACTTTATTAAACTTGTGTGAAGATCAACTCCAGTGCTACGTATAGAAGGAGTGGACAACATCAAAGCTAAACCTGTTCTGTAAAGCATAATGTGTGTGCAGAGACAGATCATTAAAGGCCTTTCAGCAGTCTCTCTTTGTTCATGAGCGGCTCTGATTGTGTCCATCAGCTGCACGTCTCTGATCTCTATACAGCTTCTACAGAGAGTCTCTCTGTGTGCTGATGAATTCACAGAATGTGGACATATGCCATCTAAAAAAAGTAAAGGTGAGATTCTATTCATTTGTGAATATTGCCCTCTAGTGGTATGATACAGTTACTACACATTTCTGTCTGAAGGTACTGGATCAGATCTTTATTTTAGAAATAGCAAAGTGGATAGGGTCGGAAATCAGGGAGAGAGAGATAGATAGATGGGAACTCTATTAATCCCTTGGGAAGGTTCCCTCAGGAAATTCAGATTCCAGCAGCAGGTAACACCAAAGGATAGAACAGCACACGGATACAAAAAATTAAATAAAAAACACAAGTTATATACAAATAATATGCTGTACACAGTAGCAGCAATAGACATGTCTAAATAAAATATACCGGTACAGATTTATTATAAATAAATAGAGAGAGAGAGAGAGAGAGAGAGAGAGAGAGAGAGAGAGAGAAACGACATGCAGGAAAGGGAGCCAAAGGTCAGACCCAAACTGGGGCCACCTGCTTCGAGGACTACAGCCTCTATTCATCGGGCATAATCTGTAGTTTGAGTGTTTTTGTACGACTACAAACATGCACAGCTACATAATGTATTCAATCTTTGCTTCAGTCTCCACCAAATTAGCCTGCATTTCAACCAACACACGTCTGTTTACAGGATGAGCCCTTTGAGTTGTTTCTTCTTGGTATCATAACACGTTATTGATTGCGTCTGTCTTGTAAACTAAGGACACGTCATGATCACATAAAGCCATGCACGTGTGTTAGACATTGTGTAGGCCACCCAGTGTAGGCAGCCCAGTGTGAGTGTGCCCTAGGTACTGTGTGAATGGAAGTTGGGAGTAACAGTATTTCACATGTAGATACGTTTCCAGCAGGATGTTTCTTACTTGATGCACGGTACGTTTCCTCTGAGGAATTCTCTGGGTCCAGCACACTCGATATCATCCAGAGCAGTGCAGATCACCGGTGTGTGGTTCACCTCTTTTTGAGTCTGGCCTCCCCACTGAACATAAAAAAAAGGAGTTAAAAGTTAATGACTGAGTGAGTGATCGACAAACATCGACATTCTTAACTGAACAAAACGTACCCAAACACAACCGTGGCCCATCTCCAGATAGGCACTGCTGTTGCCTGCATGATCTACTGGGTCTTGGCAGTAGATGAACTCCTCTGGTCTTAATCGTGCAGAGAAGGTGTAAAAAGGCAGAGTAAGGACAGTTAGTAAGCCACTGTTGGAAAATGACCAAAACACACAATAGGAACATTCAGATCTCATTATTTCCAATTGTCTTTTATGATATCTGACAGCTTTTAACTTTATAAATATTTTCAGAAAAACAATCCAAGTTGAGTTTGTTTTCCTGCCTCTTTTATATCAAAACCATACAATGAATTCTCCATATATCTGATGTGCTGATTACGTTCCAGACATAGAAAAAGTACGTTCCAGGAGAGCATTTGTCCCGTTAAAATACGGATAGAGCTAAAGCTTGAATCCTGTTTTATTAAGGGGGTTGAGAATAATGTTAAATGAACTTTTGGAAACAGCACTGGTTTAGGGACGGCATTATTGATGTAGAAGGGAGCATGACAATGGTTCTAAGAGCGGTTTCCTTTGCAGGTGTTATGTCGAGAAATGTATCCCTGCTGAAAATTGCATGCACAATGCAAAATAAGGCAGACACAATTTCTACAACACTGCCGAATTTTGCATCCACCCTTACATTTCCTCTACAGACATTTCAGAGTCAAATACTTTTTGCAGGTCATATTTACGCAGGTTAATGAAAATGCGTCTTCTACAGAATAATAATGACACCTCACTTTATTAAGTATAAACTTCACAGATCTGCACCCAGAAAAAATATTGATATCGTTTTCAAATACTTGAACGAGGTGCATGCCATTATTGGCAGGGATGCATTTCTCGGCATAACACAGAGGTTACGGTGAAAAGAGTTACCGTGTTGTCTGACGACTTTCAGCCGGATGCGTCTGTGGTTGTCGTAGTTACAAAAGATACCGTAACCATAGACTGTGGTCGTAACACACAAAGGTGCTTAAAATGCGCTTTTCCAGTCTATGGTCCAGATACGTAGTCGGCTGACAGTCGCCAGTTGACACAGTCACTCTTTTAACCGTAACACCAGTCTCCCAACAGCAGCTGTGGATAGTTAGCATTAGCATGAAAACATCACATGATACTCACAGATAGCTGCAGAGGACCACTGGTGATGGTGGTTTGTACTCGTACGTCTCTGTATAGTTCGTACTTTCTACCGGTATTTCATTTTTCACCGAGTCTGTCGTCTGCTCGCTGAACGGGACCGACGTCGCCCCCGGACCGGGAGACGCAGCGGGCGTGTCCGTGGTGGTCGAGTTTTGAGAGTGAATTCCGTCCAGACATTGTAACAGAATCACCGTCAGCAGGAGTAAGAACTGTCCACACAACAGAATATAACTCACTGAAATCATTGTCAGTGTGAAATTACGACTTGTATCCAGAAAGAACAACCATACATGACGAACAGTCAGCTCGGCACCTAAACGACGCAAAGGATATGTTTTGGTCGCGTGTATGACGTCATCAAAGGGCGCAGTGGAATGCAAAATATTGAAAGTACGGCAAGCCATATGTTGCCTCGCATTTCTTTTATTTGATATGTCCTGGCTCTGCGATTATCTAAAAAAACATATTGTAACGTTTTACTTGAAAACACAACATACTGATACCAATACAGCAAGGAGGACGGTTACAATTTTTTTTTTTTACAAGATTAAGATTTGCTTCTCAGCTTGAGTCCTGTTAGCGTACTAATTATTATGAGATGCTTTTTTTCTACAATTCTACAATTCTTTTTCTGCATGTCACTGTGTGCACATGTTTATCGTAGGCCTATGTGCGTGTTATATGTGTACAGACGCAGAATGACAAAGTTCTTCATGTAAATAGCTGTGTGTATTTCTTCCTACATCCTTGTATGGTTTTGTTTATATCAAAGTGATTTGCTTTGTTCAGACCAAAAGAAGAGAGTTTGAAAAGTGTCTGAAGAAGGAGGAAAAGATTCTGTTTAAGGAAATACAGCAATATTGAAAAGCCAAAACCTTTAAGAATAATTCTTTGAAAGGATCCATGTGGATGGGATGGGACTGAATATCCTTGGAAATAATTGACATTATATATATATATTTTTTTATCAAATATATAATATTTCTAGAAAAAAATATAAACTTTATGATATGCTTCTATTATGTTATAGTCATCTAATTCTGCAAACAAAAAAACCCACAACTATGTGTTTAGCTCTCAGTAACTGTGGCATCGCCGAGGAAAAGTGAAGTGAACACATGAACTAATAAACTTTCTAAATTGACCTGTGAGTCTGGATTTTGTTGCTGACTGTTGTTCAGCCAGTACTTATACTGTATTATATCCATAGGGTATAGAAAGACAAATACAATTTCATTAGTCATGTTAGTTTGAATTTAAAAATGTATTCAGAAGATTGTCAGTTTGATACTTGTGTCTTCTTGTCTGCGGGTGGAGCCTTCCTTCAGCTAGACATTGACCAGTCACAGTGGTGCAGACCAGTCCATTTGACATCTGGAAATTAGTAACAGTTCTCTCTTTAATAAATGTAATTATAACCTAACATATTAAGTCTTTAAAGGTTAAACATTTTATCTTTATCCGTTATTTCCTGATGAACATTCCTGAAAACCTCTAACCAGTTGTTATTGTTTCTCATGATTCATATAAGCACAATTCACCACAGAGCAACACTTCAATCAGACACCGAAGGGTCATGATGGTTTATTGGTCATTGTCAGTCATTTTTTAACCAAAGAAATATACAAAAAAATATATAAATTGACTTAGATTTTAAAAAAAAAACCTGAAACCTGAAGAAAACAGACTGTTATGCTTCTCCATATTAGACACAGCAGATAGATGATTGCATAATGCTCTTTAAAACAGCCACTATAGTTTTACTTTTGCCACATAAAGTTAAGACCTCTTTCTGATCATGTTTATTTGTTGAGGACTTCAGTACATTAGGTGAAGTGTTTGGTTACAACACAGAGCCTCCAGACAAATAGCAGAACTTGCATAAATATTTAAAGACTTGACATGACAAAATCACAATAAGCTCATGTAGCCAGTGGTAAATATCACAGGTGATTAAAGGAAGAATGCGACTTTTTGATCCCATAGATGTCGCCCTTGAGCCCTAGCATGAAACCAAAACAAACTGCCACCTCTGCCATACTGAAGCACGGACGAGTTTAGCGCAAGCAGCTGACAAACTTGTCCTCGGCTCAAGCTGCAAATGACTGTGGTCTGCATTGTTGTGTTAGCAGGCTAATGTTAGCACACTTTAGTTAACTTGAAGCTAACTTGTCATCTAAATAAGCAGTGAGTATGTTCTTCTTCTTTTCTGGGTTAGGGTTAACCCATCATGTCCATGTAAACACGGCTCTGACAACAACACAGCCAGCAGGACTTGAGCTTCTCACTCATTGTAGACAGTCATGACTCAGAGACACATTTACACAGGACAGACTGGATTTCTGAAATATTTATGAGTAAAAAGTCGCACGTTCTTCCTTTAAAATGCCCGCTCAGTCTGCTCCTAGAAATGATTATTTCTCAAAAACTGAATCATAATTCAAATAACACATGAAGTGTGAAAGTGTATTTTGGTCATGTTTTACATTCAGATTTGTTTTAATTGAACTGGTGTCCAATAGCTCAATAGCTGGCTTATATTGTAATTTTTAAACCAGTTTTTTGTTGGCAATATTTAATAAGAAACATTTTTGCAGTTATTTTATGTGATTTCAGATTCTGGATTAAAAAATTAAACATCCTCTGAATCTAAACCAGACATTATTTAGCATCTGCATAATCCACCAAGCTGCACCTCATTTAAATTTCAACTACATCGCCATTTGTAACTTTAATATCTGCTCTTTGCAGCAGAATGAATCAGTCTTTTGTTACAGGCCGGTGAATGCGACTTTACAAAAGCACAGAGTCATTCCCTCAGAAGGACGGCCTTAGCAGTCATCATGGGGTAGGAGATGGGGGGGTGGGGGGACAGACAACATGCTGGTGCAGCCATAACAGTCACAAGACAGTATCTCCCTCTGTTTGTGACTCTGCCTCCTCTCTGCAGTCCGCTTCAGCTTCGCTTACTGAGTTCCTCTGGTCTGTGTTGGGTAAGATGAGGAAATCAGGGGTGAAATATTTCAGTCCACCAGCACCCACAGAGGGAACAGACGACATCACAGGAGAGCTGAAGGAGTCCCTGCTGTGGACACTCGAAGGCGCTCGGAAATCCACTCCGGGCCGCAACATTGGGAAGAGATACGGAGCTGATGCTGCAGTGAAGCTCGAGTAGGGATAAAACAGAAAGCCTCCAAACTGAGAAAAGCTCACCAGGTCCTGTTGACAAGGGAGGGGGGGGACAACATCAGCAGCAGACAGCTTGGATGTGAAATAGCTCATGATACTGATCTGTAACGGTTTGCACTTGACTGTTTCATGATGCAATCTGTGTCATGTATTTCATAACTAATTTAAAATGTCTCATATGTCAAAATGAATAAGAGCACTTGTGTAAAAGCCACAAAAAGTTTTAATGGATCACAACGTTTCCACCAGAGGTCTTCAGGTGATCGTTTATTTAACAAAGGAGGGGGGGACACTCACATACATATATATATATATATATATAAACACCAATAGGCTGATGGGCACTATGATGACAGGTGTGGTCAAATATTCAAAATGTACCTCTTTCTTGTTTTACAGTTTACAATACTGCTGAGAAGCTGCAGCATCACTGTAGGAAAGCCTGAAGTGCTGCTGTTATTTCTTAGAATATCAACGTTTTCCTAAATTCTAATACCAGTCGACCCAGATATACAAATGCTGCATCATGTTTTTGGATCTTTGGGCCCTATCTTTGTCATTGCCCTATTCCAAAAGTAACCAGCTACTGTTCATGCACTCATGAGCATTTTATTTATTGGGTCGGCTGTGCCTCAGTTGGTAGAGTCGCGGGTTCGATCCCCAGCTCCTGCAGCCACATGTCTGATCTGTCCTTAACCCCAAGTTGCTCCTGCTGCTTGAGTATGTAGGAATGGGATTAGTTATTACTTATGGACACTTTACATAACAAAAAGAAAAGCACTATACAAGCTCGAGACCATTTATGTTCTTCAACTAAGGTGGCGTGCTCATGGCGCATAAAGGAAATAGAAAGTGAATACGCCGTTGACAACAGAATCCTGGTCTACAGGGTTTGCCGCAGTGCTCTTTTTTTTTAAGATTTATTTTTGGGCATTTAGTGCCTTTAATGTAGAGATAGGACAGTGGATAGAGTCGGAAATCAGGGAGAGAGAGAGAGAGAGGGGAATGACATGCAGGAAAGGAGCCACAGGCTGGATTTGAACCTGGGCCGCCCGCTTGGAGAACTACAGCCTCCGTACATGGGGCGCACGCTCTAACGACTGTGCCGCCAGCGCCCCCATTTTCCTTTTTTCTTTTATGGACACATTTTTAGACAGCAAAACCCTCATCAGGACAGTTCACTTCACACACAGATACACTACAGCCCTCTTCTCCTCAGTTGTGATACTTCAATTATCAAAGAAGTAAAGCCGCCTTGCCGTGTGTGTAATGCGCACAGTGACACTGCTGTTTCTGCTTTAGAGTGATCCATGTTGTCATATTCTTTAAGTGCAACTGATGCTTCACAACATTTCATTCAGTGGTCTGTGTGCCTGCAGACGCACTCAGCTTTTAAAGGAAATGGGAAATGACATGCCAGTTGTGTGTATAAATAATCATGAGTGTAAATGCATTGAGTATAAACTTTGCGCCGTGCTGGTGAGCCATAAATGGACTTGCACTACGCATTTTTGACAACATGCTTTAGATTTTGTACATGAAGCGACGACAAACTTGTGTCAAAATTCTAATTTAACCTGGTTAAAAGGAGAAGATGCTGATTTTAGCCCTTTTCAGACTTCTGCAAAAGCGGATTTTGGTTTCATTTAATTTAATTTCTGTTGTGAATTGGTGCTATACAAATACAAGTATAAAGTAAATCATTGATTGATTGAATGCAACTTTCAATAACAACATGTTTTGCTTCTTTAACTGCATTTTTATTTTTTTTACTTTATATATACTTCAAGATACTTCAAGGGCTCAATACTAATAAAGTACTAATAAATGTAAAAATGATTTGTTTTAAAAACAAGTGTTTCAGTGTATTGTTGCTCGTCTGTGTACCTGAACCAGCGGGTGCTGTGGAGGATTGGTGGGGAACCCTTGAGTCCCTGGAGTCCTTACAGGTGCTTTCAGGCTCAGGCCACACGGCAGTGCTTTCTCCATGGTGGCACAGCTGCTCCAGGTGTTTACCTGAGCAGAGTAGAGAAGGCTGGATGGGCAACGTGGGTCCTGCAGATGTCTGCCAGATTTGGGTGTATAAACAGAGCTGCATGGAAAAGTGTGGCACAGTTTGCAAAACGGATCCTCCTCGGAGTATTGTGGCCAACAGCAACCCGCTGCGTCCCTTAGTGAAGAAGTGCCCCGGCTCTGACCGGGGTCCACGTCTGTCTCTGGAGGGAGGGGAGTCTGTATGCTTCTCTCTGTTACTGGATTAAGTCTTGTTTCTTTGAGGGTTTGGTGCTCCACGTGGTCAGGATTGTCCTCAGCATTGTTGTCTTTGTCAGAGTCACTCTCATGAGAATCTTGAATAAAAAAACATGAATGGAGAAACGTTATTTCTTAACTCCTGTTCTTAGACTTGTTGTTATGTATCGACAGAACGAGTAACATAGACGTGTGAAACATGTTCTGTACCTGAAGATTTGGAGTCTCTGACAGGTTCAGATTCCCTCTCAGTCACCTGCGTCTCTTCAGACTTCACAGGTGAATGTTGAAGCTTCCTGATGACAGAAAAAAGGAGAAGGAATTGGTTAATAATCATTCAATAGATTTTTATAAACATTTTTTTCCCCTCGTTCTTTCTTTTCAACTCCTCTTCTTATCTCAACTGTTTGGACTATTAAATATTGTAGAGGAAGGTGAGAAAACCTTGATGAAGGGAAAACCATAGACTGTAAATATTAACGGATGAAGCCTGAGTGACGTCACCCATCTGTTCCTGCAGGGGGCTCTGGAGGATCATCAGCAGCAGTCTCCATGCTGGAAATCCTGTCTCAGTCTAACTTTCAGTCAACCTAACAACAGGCTGAGAGCTGGAGCTGAGGCAGGGTTTAAACCTCTTGATGAACCGTTACATCACGCCCATCTGTCAATCATGTCAGCTACACTCCTAACTATGAATAACACTTATCGTTTTCGAAATCTAAACAGAGCCTTTTAAAAAAACCTCACCCTCCGTACAGTGTGTTTCAGTGATGACAATAACTAATCAGGCCTATTTCATTTTTGCACCAGGCTGTAAACATGTTGATTTAGGCTGTAAAAACAGATTTTTTTGCCTGATGTGTGTATGTGATTTCCTGTGTTCCTGGAGCCAGCCTCTAGTGGACACTCGAGGAACTGCCAGATTTTACACTTCTGCACTGTCTTCACTTTTCAAGACCGGAGGTTGCCACTTGGGGAAAACTCATGAATCTATAGAACACAGACCCAAACTATCTCTGTGTGAATTCAGCACACTTTAAAAAGACTCTATTACTAGAGGTATCAACACTGTAATTGTTGTTATTACCTCTGGCATGTTATTTCCTTTAGATGTTCCAGCTATCACTGGGGGACACATCTTCTCCAATCATTTATAATAATAATAACAACTTTATTTTTAAAAACAAGGGTTTACAAAGTGCCACACATGCAGGAGCAACAGAACGACAGAGCGACCCATGGATGAGACACCCAACAAACAACAACAAAACCCCGAGAGTAAAAGGACCCAATCAAAAAACCTGACCAACATCAGAACCTGAACATCATCAACAACATAAGAGCTCATAATAAGTCTGTCAATGCAGGTTGAGTCCAAGAGGACTTGAGCAGAAAGAATATAAGTGAGCAGTTAAAAGAAATAGAAACAATAAAAAAGAGCTTAGAGAGTTCTCTTAAAGAAGATTAAAAATGAGATCAAGACGATAAGAGGGGGTATTAGCTTTACATTGAAATAAACTATAAAAACAGCTCAAGCATTAAATAGATTGGTTAATGGACTTTTCTAGTCTTCTGACTACTCAAAACACTTTTTACACCGCAGGTCACACCTACATATTCACACACTGATGGTAGAGATGACCGACTTTACCAACTGAGCCACAGTCGCCAGATAAAAATATGAAACCTTAAAGCAACAGCAGCCGTTAAAATGAACGTATAAACATGTAAAAATGTTGCCAACTTTACATTGAGTATTAAATATGTGTATATAGGCAAGATATGAAGACAATAAAAGGTATTTTAAAAGATTTCAATCGAAGAAGAAAATGTAATCGTACTCTCCTGAGGTTCACACACACGCAGACACACATTAGAGCGCCTCAAGTATTCAGTGCATTTCCCTTCTTTAGTAAAATGTGATGAACAAAAGACTAAAAGAGTAAAATATGGGGAAATGATTTCAATATTTGTTTTCATTCCTGATGCAGGAAATACTGAGGGCTGGGGAGTCATGGAGGTGAAATAAATCCTGATGATAAAACTGTTAACATCCTGCACCGGAATAAAGAAGAAAGAAAGTGCAACACGACTGAATCCATACTGGAAAAAAAGTTATGTGTGTTCATGGAGCTTTGAATAAATAAATAAATAAATAAATATCTAAATAACTTAGTTAATTAACCAACACACATTACAGTGACTGGGGAGTGCAAAACAAAGCTAGCTTGAGACTAATTCACATTTTCTAAAACATTTTCATTTTATGAAACCATACTAAAACAGAAAAACACTTACACCAAGGACAGAACAAATGTGTACTTTATGACCCAACAGTGACTGAGTGAGAGGTCAGTTAATTTGTCATGGTGGAAAGACAGGCCCTTTCCGAATTGTCACAGTTCAGTATGCAGTACGTACTATTCAGTATGGAGTTTCAGTATACTGAACTTTCGTGGTCATTCAGTATGCATTTTTTGGGTCCGCGCAGTATACTGAACATTTCCGGGTTTTATGCAGTATGGATCGGATGCGTGCTTTCAGGAAATGAATTGTGTTTTATCACCCACAATGCTGTGCGAAATTAAACGTAAATCGTCACGTCACGTCACTTCTCCAAATCAAAACAAAGGAGCGTGGATTAATTGAATCAATTTTTAATCTAGAGTTAAAGTCCCGACTGAAATCGCTACTTCAAATTAACAACAGAAAATATAACAAATATCTGCATTATTATAAAACCTTTCCCCCTCTATTTAAATAATGATTTAACTATTTAAATGCATCTTTATTGGTTTATTTTATATTCTGTATATTACTGTCTTTCATTTGTACTTTTCTTTATGTACTGTATGTTATTTAGTTATTTAATCTGCCTTTTACTTGATTTACATTGTGATATTGTTTTTTTGTTTACTTGACTGTATATGCGCATTACTTTTCTTGAATAAAGCTAAACAAAAAAAACAACAAAAAAAACAACAAAAAAAACGGTTGAATGCGGCCGGTTCGAGAAACGTAAATGACGTCACTTCCATACTGAATGAATCAGACGAAGTAGGAACAAATATCTGCCTACTGTGTGTACATACTGAATAGTAGGTACTAACAGTATGCAGCACGGATAGTAGGTACTGCATACTGCCTACTGCATACTGAAAGATTGAGTATGTACTTGGCAATTCGGATACAGCCACTGTGTGGCTGTGTTATAGAGTTTATGGTGACCAGATGATGTTTTGTCCCATTCAGTAGACCCATCCTGAGACAGTTAACAAATGTCTTTCTGCTTAAATTAATTAATTGACCGCTCACTTCAGGGTAACTTTGAGCATTTATTCCCTTTCCAGTAAGATCCTGTCCTCTGTAAATTTGTTTGGGGACTGGTAAAAGTTTTCTGCTGTTTGTAAATTTATCTTGGCTCTCGTTAAAGTGTTTCTCATCTTGAACATTTTTGTCTAAAATGTAACTTTGTTTTGTCCTTGGTGAATCTACTTAGTGTTTGTAATTTTGTCTTTAAAAAAATTTAAAAAAAAATTAAAAATGTAATTTGTCCCGAGCTTTTTAAAAGTGTTTCACACTTTTTAAGTTTGGTTTGCACGTCCCAGCCACCGTACTTCATGATGTCCACTACCAGTCTAAAGTTTGGACACACAGCAGTAACAGTTTGATCAATAACACAGAATATATTATTATAATAAAGCTGTACGCTGATAGAAGGGTTTTTCTTATAAGAGTATAATATATAAAAATAATATAATAAAATAAGAGTAGATATCAAAATAATAATAATAAAACATTTCATTAAATGTTTGTTTTGGAAAGGAATGCATACGAATGCATAAAGTTCAATATTTCTACTTTTATAAGAAACACATGTGAAACATTTAACCACAATCCTTTAGATCAAAATATCTTTAAGATAATAACATCGATCAGGTGTGTTTATCTGACCCTGATGAAAAGGTTTAACAGATTAATTATTATTAATAATACAAATAATAATAATAATAATACAAATAATAATAATAATGTAAAAATTATCAAACAATAAGTAATTTATTTACAATAAGGTCAATAATTGATTTTTTCCTAAAGAGCAAGTTAGACGCAGTTTTTCAACTAAAATTCTGTTTATACAATAACACAAAAATCTAATTATTAAGGATCAAAAAAGAAAACAAATCTTATGTTTTATTATAAGAATACATTTAAGCAATTATTATGATGATGATTATAACTATTAGTATTAATACCATTATAATAAGTTGTTGTACTTCTAGTATAAAAGTATAATAATAATATAATAATAATAATAAGTATTATTATTATTAGACCCACAGCACTTTTGTGAACACTCTTAACAACGAACAACACAAACTAAACATGTTATATAATATGATGGTATTAATGAGCAGCCTATAAATATGAATAATAGAACATTAGCACACATTATCTGTTCTTTGAATCACTTTTGCAGTTTTTGAAGTAGCCTATTAAAAGTAACATTTTGAGGCATGTTATGTATTTCTACATCCGGACCGGGACTATAAAGGCCCTGAATATCTAAACAATGGTTCCCAAACAGCGATGACCTCTAAAGAAAACCTTTTTTCTCCACAAACTGTAACAAAACATCAAACTTATTGAACAATGAAAGGAAGGAGTCACTCGCCTCTTCTCTCTCCTCCCGTTGCCCGTGTCCCGGAATCCCTTCGCGAACGGGTTGTTGTCTATTTTCAGCTGCGTGATCTTAACGACGATGACACAAATATTACATGTTTTACATTTTAATATGACTATACCTACATGGCCACACTTTATATGAAATAATATGGTATTCCTGGATAGCTGCTTGGATGATGTGATGGTGATCTGACGTCTTACCTTGTCGTTTTGGTAAGCTGTCACTGCGATGAATTCAGTCTCAGAGAAGACATAAGTCCGGAAGGTGCTGTAAGGCAGTTTCACGATGTCATTTGCCTTCACTATGTGAAATCTGGGCTGGTATTTGTGCATCGAGTTGAGAATAGTCTGCAAACAAATACATGTATAATACAGTTAAAATATACGGTAATTGTTTTTTCCCCCTCAGTTGTCTAGGAATGAATAAAAATGTCTTGACTTAAACTTCCACACTTACAAAGCCATGCTTATCCGACATGTTGTTAGTCAGTTTCAGTTTGTGGAAGTTGACCACTTTGGACATCCACTGGTCGCCCGTGGCCGGACTGTCCGGGTGGATGTACATTCGTTTGGGCATCTCCGGGTCCGCCTTCCCCGCCACCATCCAGCGGGAGTTATGAAATTTGTACCTGCAGTCGTCAGCCGCCACGATGTCCATGAGAAGGATGTATTTTGCTTTCCTGTCCATCGATGTGCACCTTGCTCTGAGCGGCGGAAACATGCGCCTGTAAGGAGGAGAGAAAGCAGAGTGAAAGCATTGCTCTAACACACTTTAACCTTCCACCGTGCGTAATAATGAGACATGTGTGGCATACCTCCCGGATTTCGTTATAACCATTTCCGTCCCGCATTTATGGAACTCTCTCCAAAGGTCATTTTCTTCCAGATAAAGTTTCGGATCATCTTCGGACATTTCTCCTCCCGCAAAAGTTTCCGCAGGCCGGCACAAAACGGAAGTCTGCTCCGGGTGCGACCGGCTGCGACTCGCCGGGTCTGCGATGGCATTCACACTGAGATCTGCTGATCCTCGGGAGGATAAGTCGACGGCTGAAAACAAAGATGGTCCTGTCAAGATAGTCGTCGCATCTCCTACCCTTGTTGAAAAGGCTTGTGCGATCTCGCCAGGAGCGCACGACTCGGAGAAGCAGCGCATGGTCTGGAAAAATAAACTTTTACGCACGACTGTGTCCAGGTCAAACTTTTACGTCACCCTGTAAGAAAACTGTATTTGCATTGAAACCCCGCTGATAATATTCAGACACTTCACTTTTTTTTCTCTCTTGATGTCTGGTATGACAGAGAAGTCCTGCTCACTCTGAGTGCTCTGATGCCCCCGAGCCTCTGTCCACGCTGATTTGCTCATTGACACTTTTGGACTCAGTGTGACACCGATGGTGGGCGGAGTAACCCTGGTGTTGGCCTTTTTGTGCATGAACAGAGCTGCTTGTGCCAATATGGGGGTTAATATCTAGATGTATCCTAATCCATCACAGCATTTTATCAAACAGAAAAGAAACAACATTTTTGAATACTTGGTTCTCAGTTTTCAAGATTAAATCCCTTCTGTTTGTTGCCCCATGAGGGGGTCTAAACTTAACACTTAGATGAGCATAAGATCTGTCATGAAATCTGAGTGATAGGCCAACATTCTGATAAAGCCACTGGTTTTCCTGTCTTCCCACTTCATTCCAGTGCCCTGTGGTTTTACAGCTCCACTGATGTGGTCTCCTCCTCTCATGCAGCACTGCATGTGGATGGTCTGCAGGGGTCCAGCTTTGTGGAGGGCCAGCCTGTGCCAGCGATTGTCCCTGCTGGATTAGGTCGTGGGTTCGGTTACAGGCTCTTTTATTGCCCGGTGGACCCTGACAGTGTAGGAAGATCCCAGGGAAAACTTTCTCTGAGTGAGGGTGACAGGTTCAGCAGTACACATGTGCACCACTTGTGATGTTCACCACTGCAGGAGCTCTAAAGCACGTCAGCAGGTGGAGGCGGTGCTCAATGTGAAATCACATTAGACCAAAAAGTGTTCGGAAATAAAACTACTATGTTCCTTTAATCCTAAAGATGACGTAATCTCCTTTAATACTTCTCTGTGCTTGATCAGATGATTTTAGCATACATTCATTTTGCATTTAACCTGATAAACACATTAGAAATGTACAATTATTAAATCATTATCTAGTTATATTAGATTTTTGTTTAAAATCAAGCATTTTGAAAAATGAAGCAAAGGCAGATGAGTTAAAATCTGCAGTTCTTCACTCCAGTCCATGTGGAAGTCCATGTTAAAATCTCTGTTTTGACAGCTGAAATAAACATGTTTACAGCCGGGTTTAAAAAAAAAGTATCCATAGTTTTGTCGTGGCTTAAGTTTGTTTCATGGTTTCTTCATTCATGTGGTCAGTTTTGTTTGTTTATACAGTTTTATAACTCTTCTGTCATTTCAGAATCAGTCACTCCCACCTCCCACCTGCCTCCCTCTCTGATTCTCCTCACCTGCTCACCTGCTCATCTCTCCCTCACACACCTGTCCCCTATTGCCTGAGAAGCTCCTATAGCTCACTTAACCAGTTCACTTTCACTAACCCTCTGCCAGATTGTCTCGGTCCGTTGACTTAGCTTTCTAGCATTTATTTTCTAGTTTTTATCTTTGGCCTAGTGCACACCTAGGGATTTTTGAAAAGAGAGGTTTTCCTCCGCAGTTTAAAATAAATATCATGTCCACACACACACTCAGTTCTCAACATCTTCGTCCACATGAAAACCACGTGGCACTGTTGCGGCTGTTATGAGCATGCTAACTCAATTCAATTCAGAAAACCTTTTTTGTCCCTGGGGGGGCAAGTCCACAATGATGTCCTTCACACTGGAAACTTTTCTCCCCATTCCTCTGCAATGACCATTTAATTCTCAAAGTTTTTACTGCCCGAAGTCTGAACGGGTGTCGACTGAAACCGCCACTTTTCAACAGAGTAGGATAGTAACTGCGTTTGTATGTGTAAGCATGTTAAAAGGTCAATTAGCTAACACCAGCACTAGTTTGGTTACGTCTTCCATCATACTAATCTCCACAAGCATGACTTTCATACTCCAATACTCTCAGTTTTCCCCGTTTACACATAAACACCTTAAACAGAGTTTCTGAAAATCTTCACTCTGGGAGGAGTTTTCCAAAAGGTGCATTTTCAGTCACCTAAAACGGGGATTGCCTGTGGAAAGGTCAAAACGCAGAGAAAAAGACGTTTTTGGATTGTGCCTCAGTCTGACCCCTTTAACTCTGTTTGCCTGCCTGAATTTGTATCCTTGTATTTTTTTATGAGTACAGACTTCTGCTACTGATCTGAGTCGAGCATTTGAGTTTATTTTGCCTTTGAACTGTGACAAGTTTATGTCATACACTGTATGAAGAGTTGTATTTTTTAGTAACTCTTCTGTTTTGTTTATCTGAATTTTAAGAGTTGTTCATAATTAGGGGCGAGATTGATCTGACTGACAGGCGGGTCTGTTGTTGCTGTTTGCCAGGAGGGTTAAAGGCTCGCCTCCGCTCTACGTCTTTGTCTGTTGCTAGGTGACCGAAAGTGTGAGACAGCATTTCTAATCTGGGGACCACGGCCACCATCGTTGGTCATGGAGACTGATGTGATGATATGCGGCTAATACAGTACATCAAGAATGTCATAGGAAGATAGTTTATGTAAGATCACAACACCTTGGGCCGCACTTCAATTCAATTTCAACACATTTACATTGTGTTGAAATTGAATAAATTTTGCGACAAAATAGGCTCCTCTCAAATGTTTATTTGGAGGTTTGTCTATATGTACGTTAGGACTATAGCCTAACGTACATGGGGTGTGCGCACCAACCACAACAATACCGGCGCCCAAAAAATAGACTTCTGATCAGAACAAACTTCTTTGGCAACTCGGCGCAGATTGCTACTCGGCATCAGGGATTAAGTTAAGATTTTAGATATGTTAAGAGCTCAAAGGTATTAAACCCGGCTGCAGGTTTGGAGCCCTCTCAGTTACATGAAGTCGTTTTCTAAACTCCCACCCGTCTATTGTTATGCATAACTTTTCTTTATTTACCTGTCTCCCCTTAATTTAAATAGTTCGATAACTATTCTACGTTAAGGCCGCTGATGAAAAAATGGTAAGGAATAACAGATGTTATACTTTTTATTCAGTAAGGACCTTGCTGTGAAATCAGGAACTATCAAACCCTGGATCTTATCTTAGAAGTCTCTGACCTGATGCCTAAGTAAGCACACTTCTAATTCAGAAGTCATTCAAGATTTGCGGAGGGTGGCATTGCTGTTGATGATGACCCAATCTTTTTCTGGCGGAGGAGGAGCAGGGGAAAACCCTGCCTGTCCATCAGCCAACTTCAAAGAGCCAGTCAGTAATCTGAAACAGGCCCGAGGATGATGGCAAACAAGACGCCTGGCTGTTATTTGTGGGTTTGGCCCACAAGCCGCGTGTGAAACCTGTCTCCGAGGATAAACCCACAGATCTCCACTGGGTCACTGCCCAGGAACACATTCTTGCTGGGTAAACCTCCCGTTTCTGGATGGACCCATTTGGGTGTGGGCATATTGTCCACAAGGCAGGTGCATTAATTAGTTTGTGCATGGCTGAATTTTCAATACTCCAGGTAATCCATCTTTCTTTGTCAGAAAACATTTAGATACACAGATACAAATACTTCAGTATACTCAGCTACTGAGCGGGAGTTAAGTCCGTGATTCAGGTGTGCTATGCTAGAGTTACGTAGCATTTGAGCTGCTAGCCTCAAACAGAGATGAGAAGCGGCCCGTGAAGGTTTTTTAAGCACTACATTTGCTCTACATCACTGGATTGTTTTTGTAGTTTTCAACCTCTACTGATGATTATTTACTGAGAGGAATTTCATTTTCCACTTATTTGCTGACTTGAACACAACTTATTTGTCTTTCCCTTTGATGGTGCTAGAGGAGACTCAAACATAACCACAGTTTGTATAATTCATGAGTAGGGGAAAACAGGATAAAAAACAACAGTAGACCAGCTTACCACTGTTAGTGGGGTGGTCTCTGAAGCGGTTACAGGCAGACTTGTGTGGGAGAGGTTAAGGTGGGAAAGTAGAGACGCGTTTCAGCCTTCGTCAGGGCGTTAGTGTGGGTGTTAGGGGAAACAGGATTTGTATTTGAAATTTCATGGAAGTCCATTGAATAGCCTTTTAAGAAATTCAATTTCTCAAATTGAATTTCTGCACACCTCACATTAGTAAAATCTGTACTCGAGCTTGTTTGACCCCCACACCCCCCTCTAGTTTTTTGACTTGTGTGAACACTCCGTACTGCACTTTATTTGGCCAGCTGCTGTACAGTCAGAGGCTCAACAGTTTCCAAGGCCATGTGTGGTTCTTCAAACAACATGCAAAAGATTTTTGAATAGAAATTGCACTACATTATACCATCAATATTTCACGTTCAGATACAGTTTTAATGCTTTTTCCTGAGATGTTTTCCCAAACCAAATAGAAATCAAATGTATATGGAGAAAACACAGATGTATTTTGCTCATATCAAATATGTACTTGTGACACACTCTCAGTGTGGACAATCAACATGAGACCTATTCAGAGTGCCTGTTCAAAGTGCGATATTTATGCCCCTGTGACTTCTCTAGGGGGGGCGAAGTGTTCCCACCACTGTACTGCCATATCGCAATGTAACGTCACAGACTGGGACACCAGTATAACACCAGTGCAGAATCAATATGAATGTAGGTCTACTGAGGCAGTGTTAGGGGACTACACTCTGAAAAGGTCTACAAACCACTTAATGCTAAATGGACTTGAGCTTGTCTTCTGATTACTCAAATCACTTTTACACAACAGGTCACACCTACCCATTCACACACCCATTGCACCCATTAGGGGCTGCTATGTAAAGTGGCTATCAGTATTAGCTAAACCCATTCATACACATTCACACGCCGCTGACAAAGCAGCAGGAGCAATTTGGTATTTAGGTGTCTTTGCCCAAGGACACATTGGATATGTAGCTGCAGGAGCTGGGGATTGAACCCCCGGAGCTTCAGGCTACGAGACGACCCACTCTGAAGAAGGCGTCTCTGCAAAAGCGCAGTAACAAAGTTTGATCCAATTACGCCTTTGTACTTACAGAGTATACCTCAAAAGACTTAATAACACAGAGGAAAGGAGCTGATTTCACAGCATGATCATCACTTATTAAATACCTCTGTAGGATTGTTGATATGCAAACCGAAGCATTTGTGATGTCTCAGTTTTTAATCCTACAGACTGTTTTTGTCCTCTTGACTGGAAATGTTCTCCACAGGGTCACTGGGAAAGCTTCCAAACAGGCCTGGCCGCACTGTCTCCCTAACACCTCTCATGTTTGGACAGTTGAAAACTGATGAATGGCCTAATGGTAACGGGTGAGTGTGAGCGAACATAGTTTGGCTTTGGAGGTGAGAAGAATTTAGTTTACCAGCAGAGGAGAGGTGCTAAAAGAGTCAAAGCCTGAGCCGATATCAGACATTCGCAGAGTAAGCAGACACACTAGGGTCGGGCTGGAAGAATAGCTGTGAGACGAAGGCCAAAGTGTAGACTAGACGGTCACCATAAGACCTCGGCGTGTTGTATCATGACTCCATTCATTTGATATTCCATCCAACAGTGTGAGAATCGAGGTTCCCATTCTTACAATATTCTATTTTTAAACAGAGCTCATAGTATCAGATAGTTTGTGTGAGTGTGTATGTGGATCTCACACGCAGCTGGACCTACAGTATCAGCCTTAACATCTGATGTTTATGCCTACAGGGTCAACACACTCTCTGGATTGTAATTACTCACATTGTGGAACATTTCATTGCCTGTGTTATTGCATCATTACCTGCTGATCATCATGGGGCTACTCAGTAGGTACTGCAGACTTGCAACTGCATTTATCTCATAAGGTATATGAAGTGCCTACAGAGCCCGGGAGGTGACATATATATTTATTTTTTTTACGCAGGTGCAGCTTCTATTTTCACACACAGCCATGTTGCCGTGATGTCACGCACAGTGTGGAAAGCCCAAATGTTGTTTTTGTCGTGTCATACTGCGACAGTATGCTCTAAGTTATGTTAACGTCGAAAATCTGATAAGACTGTTCCAGATCGATGAGAAAGTACACAGACAATGAATACTGAAAATCCAGAGACACAACGGGCCATATTCTGAGTTAAAAAAACATATTTTATGGGGGCGCCATTGTCCTGGTGGTTAGTGTGTACGCCCCATGTGCAGGGGCTGTGGTCCTCAGGGTGGGCGGCCTGGGTTTGGATCCGGCCTGCAGCTTCTTTTCCTGCGTTTTGTACCATGCACTCTCTCCCTCCCTGGTTTCTGGCTCTGTCCACCGTCCTGTCTTAAAAATAAACCTTAAAAAAATCTATCTTATAAGATATAATAGCCTGAGGTCAAACTTGTGCAGACCCCCCTTCATGCTCCACTCTCACTTTCATTTTACTCTATTATCCATGTAACATTAAATTATTTTCAACGTTTGCTGAAGCAATTTTATCAATCGATTTGCGGACTACTTTAGCAGTGTTAACATCAAAGTGACGGTTCATTTCATATTTTCATTCCCCTGCCAGAAATTCACTTTTTTCAGTATGGCACAGACGGACGGTGCTGGTCTTACATTTATTATGATATGTTTGATATCCCCAACTTGTTCCCCTCTTACACCTCTGTCACATTATAAATAAATGGAGTATCATTTATTTAACAGAAACAACACAGGGTGCAGAAAGATGTTTTATGAACTGAGTATTGAACAAAGCTGTGAAATAGAAGAAGATTGCATTCTGATCCAAATATGATCACCTCAGTCCATGGATAGAAGGTACACTACAAGCAGCTGCCACTAGGGGGACAAAGCCTTTTACATTACATTAGACAAGGCAGGTTTATTTATATAGCACCATTCAGACACCAGGCGACACAAAGTGCATTACAATCCTTCACACCAGCAACGTGTTGGTCAGACGAGCATGTCAGAATGTATCTGTAGATGAGTCAGAGTCAGTCACCCCGAGCTGCAGGAATAAGAGCGGACTTTGGATCAGAGGACTCACAGAGTGATGCTAAGGATTCCTCACATTTCACAGCTCTCCATGTTAGACCCTCTGCATAGCTCAGACGTGTTCGCTCAGCAGGCCTGAATAAGAACAATAGTGCCCATCAGTGATGAAGCAGTGTGCGTCCTGTAGATTCAAATGTTTAAAAGTCGTTCCACATGTTCATGTCCACATGGATCAACGTCTGTTTCAGTGGCCTCCAACCAGCACGGTGTGTTTACCGTAGTGTTAGTACTAGAAATCGGTTTTGGTCTTAAGACTGGTCTTATGAATTTTTTATGCAAATGAAAATGCAATTAATCACAATAAACTATTTAAATTCAGCGGTGAATGACTTTTTAAAGGTGCAGTACGGAGTTTTGGTAGAGAAATGTGAAAGTTAGAGAAATTTACATATTCTGTGGTATATGTTCATAACTCTATACACAAACTGTCCTCAGAGGAAAATTTGGTCCCTGTAACACTGTTTGAAGATAAAATGATAAGCGAGAAGTTATGGTGGGGGGTCTGCAACAGTGAAACAGTAACTCTCCTGGTAGCTTTTCAGCTCCAAACAGTGATCCAAGGACCCATTTTTTTCTTTGAGTAAAGTTTGTGTATTCAGTTCAGAAAATATAACGAAGAATTGTTTCACTTCTCTAACTTTCAATTTTCACTACCAAATCTCCGTAGTGCACCTTTAAAAATGTATTATCTGTCTGCCATATTTCAGACAATAAAATCTGATGTCAGGTTTAACCCACGTCTGTGCTTCATGTTATTCAGTTATTTATTTATCTATATATTAGACGTGTCAGACTGTGATTATACGTCGATGCGAACAAAAATACATTTATTTAAGTATGGGAGATTTTATTTTCCTCTTCATTCTGCTCAAACAGCAAGCTTTACACAAAACAAAGACAACAAAAAAATCAATGTGTGTTTTTTCCAGCACTAAAGAGTCCATAAATCAGTTTTATAGGAAGCTAAGCAAAGAAAGGGGATGAGAAAGAGCGGTGAGAGGAGGAGGCGGGAGGCCCCTGGGAATCAATTTTGACACATTAGAACTATTAGCTTATTGAGAGGTGGAAGACAGATCGAAGGCTGGATGTTAAAGAGAGCTGTAACTGTAAAACAGCCTCTCTACTGATGAGCTCGGTGTAAAACATCTCTCCATCATGACTTTATATCCTGAAGTGCAGGATTTCTTTTAAAAGGATAGAGGAGGGAAGATGTTTGGATGAATAGATGGATTATAGGCCTTGATATAATTAACATATAGAAGAAGACAAAAACGCTAAGTAATTAAATATGAAGATCTCGAGAACAAGTTTACTAAAAGTAAAACTAAGTAAATATTTTTCCTTGTTTCCGGCAGTTTTCTATAGTGGAGATTTTCAAAGCTCATTCAGGAGCATTACTTTATAGTCAACTGTTGAGAACATTTAAGATGAATTTGAAATTTCCTGGGAG